CTTTATAATTAGAATAAAAGCCTTCCAAAGATGTTTGCAACATGCTAGGTGAGTCATTAGCTTGCAAGACAAACATTGTGAAGAAAACTAACTTGGTTTTATATTTTACTGTGCAAATATGGTGATTTATATTAAGTAACACAACTTTTTCCCTCAGCTGTATCTGCAGCTTTCTTGAAGACAAACAAAGCAAACCCTTATCTTCAGATAAAGAGGTGACTTTTATGACTTTTAAGGCTTACTCTTGACTTCTTTCAGCCTCCAGCAACTGTTAACCTTTCAGATTGATCCCTATTTTGCTATACTACTTAAAAGATCATAGAGTCACAAGAATTCAAATACTTAATGTTTATTTAAGGAAAGCTTCATTTATGTTTTGAGACAGATCTTGTAATAGTTTTGCTGTTCTATGTGATTGTAGTAGTAGTGCTTCTCTTCCAAGAAAAGCTGCAGCTAGTTTTAGGAGGGGAAATACCTGTCTGGTTTAAGATAAACTGGATGAAAAAACTGGCAGTGAATAGGTATGTGGGAGTGAGGAGGAGGTTGATTTGTGGAAGTGGTGTGGTATGGGATAAAATCCTGCAAGCTGAGAAACTCGAGTGTATCCTTACTCCATCATCCTCAACCAAGAGCCTTAGAACATGAGTCTTCATGCCAAAGAGCAATCTTTAAACATTGAGCCAAGAGGTTTTCAGTGGTAGATCTGTGGTTTTGGTTTAAGCTACTTGTAGGGAATTAATGAAAGATAGCTAACAAAGTCAAACCTACTTGTCTTTAGGCTTAGTCCAGCTGCATGACTTAAAATTAGAAAAGGCTGAAAAGCTGCCTACAAAAGAAGAAGAGGGGAAGTATCTTGCAGGTTCCTCAGTGAGAAAATGTGAGTGTGTGTAAAATCATAGAATGGTTTGGGTTGGAGGGCCCCCAAAACACCATCGATTCCCACCCCCCCCCTGCCATGGGCAGGGAGACCCTCCACTAGACCACATTGCCCAAAGCCCCCATCCAACCTGGCCTGGAACACTTCCAGGGAGAGGACTTCCACAGCTTCTCTGGTCAACCTGTTCCAGTGCCTCACTACCCTCACAGTGAAGAATTTCTTCCTAACATCTAATCTAAATCTACCATCTTTCAGTTTAAAGCCATTATCTCTCATCCTATCTCTACAGGCCCTTGTAAACAGTCCCTCTCCAGCTTTCCTGTAGGCCCCCTTCAGGCACTGGAAGGCTGCCATAAGGTCTCCCCAGAACCTTCTCTTCTCCAGGCTGAACAAGCCCAACTCTCTCAGCCTGTCCTCACAGGACAAGTGCTCCAGCCCTCTGATCATCTTTGTAGCCCTCCTCTGGACTCACTCCAACAGGTCCATGTCCTTATCTTAAAGCTGGGACATTTTCTTTGGCTGCACAAAAACACAGCTGCAAGGGCATGTGAGTGAAACCACTTAAAAGCACAAACTTGGGCTCGGAGTGGTGGGTGCTGTGGCCAGTGGGCTGCTCCCCACTGGGTACCTGCTGGCTCTGGGTGTCCTGCTGCAAGTCTGGCACTTTCTGACAAAAGTGATATTTCAAAAGTACAGGAAGCCAAGTCTTCAGAAACTTGTATTTCAGTCTCTCCAAATCAGTAACTGCTGTCAGCTTCTCAACTATATTGTATAATTGTTGTGCTCTTTCTTTCAAGAAGCTCACAAACATTTATTACCTTGGTTATCTGTCACTTGTAGAAATCTTTTTTCTCCTATGTGTCTTCCTTTCCCACAAGTGGACCATGAAAGCCTTCCTGATCTGCAGATATCCATCTCTTTCCTAAGAAAACAGGAGGCTGTAAGTGAACTCGCTCTCCCTGACCATAAATGTGGGGGGGGTTTCTAAGCATACCTAATGGCAAGTGACTGAAACTTTTTGGGCAAACCGTGAAGTGGTGTAAATGTAGTCCAAATCTATAGCTGCTCTTCTTGTTCACTGAGATGCTGTAACAACTTTACTGGAAGTAAAATAGAGTACTAGTTTATTTTATATGGGATTTTGTTGCTTTTTTCACTTAAAAGAAATCTATTACATTTTGAGAGGAAAAGAGGTCAGCAGAAATTAGATCTTGTGGCTCTACAGGTTTATGAAAGTTGAACTTACTCAGCTGTTAGTTGTGGTAACAATCTTTTTAAAGAGTTTAAACACTTCACAGAAAATCTTTACTCAACTCCCCTAGAGGATCACCTATGGAGGTGTGTGGAAAAGAGGAATGCTGCTCTCCAGTCCTACTTGTTTGAAGATGACTGTAAATTCTCACTTTCTGATTTGCCTTCCCAGTCTAGCCTGGATGTCCACAGCTTAAAGCTGTGTGTATGTGTGTGCCCACATGTGAATTGTTGCAGAATCACAGAGCATGGTATTAATCCCTATCCCTGTACTTAGCAGATGACAGCATTTACAAAGCCTGTCTGCCAGCCATTGAAGTACAATTTTTACCTTATGAACCAAGACAGCAGCATAGGCTTTCTGTACTTTTGTTTGTTCTGGAAGTCTTGCCTCTAGTCTTGTAGACCTTCTTGGTAGAGTCAGGTAGAACTTGATTGCTTTGTGCTCCAGTGGAGGAAACAGCTTTTGAAGCCATAGCCTTTCTGTTAACCTGGTTACGGGCTGGGTCTGTGCTGTAGGGGATTAGCTGTTGAAGCCTGCAGGGTGAACTGTTCCTCTCTGAGCTGGAGGGCTTTGATGTTGACTTTTGTAGCATCAGGACTTCACCTGTAAAGTTTCTTTCTGGTGACTTGCCCCCACACACACTCCCTTTTAATTAAAAGGGAGAGAGCAAGGAGAATTATTCTTGTAATTCCAAGGGTGGGCACTTAAAGAGATCCAAAACTGTCACTTTTAACCACTTGTCATGCCTTGCTGTGTCAGTTATGCTTTTTCTTTGCAACCAGTGACCTTATTTTGAGTTTAGCTTTCTCGGTAGAAGGCAGGGGTTTATGAACAGCAATGTTGACTTCTTAAAATACAGCTTTTGAAACAGTCTAGTTTTTAATGAGCATTCAGGATGAATTTATAATTGGCTGTAGCTGGTAACTGTTCTTGAAGGGAGAGTATCTTGAAGCTCCTACTGTGCCACACTTGGATGAACCAATTCTGGAGTTCAGGCAAGTGGAACTTCTCTTTCCTTTAAAGCAGTAGTAAAGAAGCAGCAGCATCTTCAGCAAGGACCTTGATCAGAATCAAGAAGGAGCTGACCTTGGCAGCTGAGGCCGTGCTGGCCTCACTTTTAGAGGGGGTTGATTTGACAGCTCCTGACACTTCTGGCGTGTTCCTTACACTGCTGCCCTTATGGGTCAAATAGTGTGGTGAAGCTTCCTTTGTTCAAGTTGATGCTAAAAAGCAGAGACTCAGCTGTGAGAATCTTTCACAAACTGTATCTCTTAAACAGCAAATTATTAGACTGGAGAAGGGGAGCAGGTTACATCCCCTCCAGTTTTTGCCGGTCTCCTGTGCTCCCTGTGCTTGCTGTCATCGAAGACCTATCAAAAGCTGTAGCAGGAAGCATTAGGAGCCTGCCTTCTCTGTTCATTAATGAACCAGAGTTTGATGTTAGCATCTCTCTGCCCTTGCGAGCAGGTGTCACTGCAGCCAGCACCAATTACAGCTGTATTCAGGGGACAGCAACATGATTCAGCCAGTCAAAAACAATATAAATGAATGAGGCTTTCACAGTTCAGGGATTATATATTTTTAGCAAGCTGTATGTGATGTAATACAACAAGATAGCTGCATTTTTTTGAACTTAAATGCTTGTTCTGTTCCTGTCAGCAGGCAACAGCATACTGTAAAACTTGGACGTTATAAAAGGGAAAGAATATGAGAACAATGTAAGGTTAGAAGATTTTTATCCCATCAGTGCTGGTAGGTTCTGCAAAAGAAAATAGATTTGAGGTTCTCTAGATTTATAACTTTGTGATAAAAGAGGCCAGATTTTGAAGGCATTCAAGTACTTTTCAGCATGCTGCATGCAGCACTAATGAAAAATGGGCTCTGAAATGATTTCTTCACAGCGCAGCTTTCATTCAGGCCTTTGTGTGTGGTTTGTGCTAGTACGGAGCTTGAAAGTGTGGTCTTGTTCCCTTCAAGTCTTGGATTAAGCTGTACCAACAGCAGACATGTGTAACAGTACTCTGTTTTCTGGCAGCAAGTAAAGATGTTTTATTGCCTTTTATAGGATATGAAGTACTGTAATCTGAGAAGTCTACATCTTAGTCAAATATCGCTTGTATGTGAACACTCCATTTTAGAAACCTGAAGTAAAGAGGTGGTGACTGGGGAGAGTCTGCAGTACACGGGCAGAGTTATATTTACGTTGTTTCTTCTGGAATTCTTCCTGTTCCTCTCCTCTACTGGAACTAAATGGTAATCATAATGAAAATTAACTGTAGGACACCAGAACTCAGAACGGATGGGCAACCTTGTCATCTGTATCTATTTTAAGACCTCATATGTATATTTTAATAAAGTTGGTCACCAGGAAAGTTGATTACCTCACATCTATAGTGAATTAAATCAGAGCCCAGTAGTAGCTCTTTGCTTACATGCTACTTTACTCAAGGTCTCAAAGTGCGGTTGCGAATTCTGGGGAACAGGAGGTTTTTAACAGCAGAGCAAGATGAGCGTCTCTTGAAACTACCACTTGGAAGCTGCTGTGAACCAGACAGGTGCTTGGAGAAGACAAGAAGTGTTTGAAATCGTCTAGATTTTTCTTCAAGCTTTCTCACTTAATTCTGTAGTCTTATTCAAATTCTTGACTTTTCTGAAAAGGCACATGGATAGTATAGTCTGGTCAAAGTATGTACTCAGGCTAAAAAGTGTGAACAAATTATGATTTTTCATTTTGGTTTTATTGACATGAGATTTCTTAACATCTTTCCCATGTATATCGATAGATGTTTGTTTCAAGAGCAATTTAGAAAACTGAAGTACCACTTCTTTTTCTCTGTTAGTAAATAAGTCTCCATTCTATTTCTACAGCACTAATATCACCTGCAAAGAAGAGCTCATCAGTGATCAATAGATTACAGCTCTGGCAACATAAACCAAACCGTCAACATGAAACACTTCCTGAGGTAACTGTTCTGTATTTGTTTCAAAAGTGTTAAATTATTCTAATTACTTCTGTGCTGCAGTGAGTTAAGTGTTTTAGCGGTTACCACTCGTACTGAAGGTGTAAACTAGTTTATACTGGATTGCTTTCTGTTCACCTAGATTTCATTATTTAATTAGAGCTGTATTAATTTAAAATTTCCTTTCCAGTGCTTTATAGAAGCAAATAATGTGGCAACTGTCTTATGGGATTGGAGCAGTGATGCATCAAATCAGTAGTGCCTGATATGTGAGGGGAAAATAAGAGAAACAGCAACAGAGAACAATGCTTGAAAAATGTTGGGGGTTTTGTTCCCATTCTTGTCTCTGCTGTCTGGATTTTTGGAGTATTAGTTGTGAAAGTAGAGAAGGGGAGATGCTTGGTGAAGACGTGCAAATGTATTTGAAGCCAATTGTGCACAATTTGGGGAGAAATGTCTCTTACTTGCTCCTGTGTATGACGTGCATGTTGTTTTTCTATGAACCAGGGGTAGTATGGGGGACTTGCAGACACCAGCTGTAGGTGCAGAAAGCCCATGTTGTCTTTGTTCTGTAGTCAGTGGAGAGAGTTGAGCACTCCTAGAAACTAATACAGATCAAGAGCTTAATTTGTGTATAAACCAAAGAAATCATATTCTGTCTGGATGGGAAAAACGTTTTCAAGAGGGCTGAAACATATGCTTCTGTATAGAGCATCTGTCACTATATTTTTCTCTCTTTTTAGACTGTTTATAGCAAAGAATCTTATACACTATGGATATCAGCATCATTACCTCTAGGCTGATCATCTGTAATGATTTTGCTGCCAAGCCAGCCTTGGCTTAAGTATTTCTGTGGAATGTTTGGGTCTGTTTCTTCAGGTATCTTGGGCCAGCTGCAAAAGGACTCTCTAAGCAGGACATACACAGGTTAAAATTATAAAGCATCATTTATTTGCTAACACCCACAAAAGATGGCTAAGATTTAATGAGCCATTAGGCTGAGCATTAGTGTGCTCACCACCCTGACAGGCACCAGTCAGGAGGGAAAGGAGTGGTCCCTGCAGCTCTGTGGCTCTGATTCTGGATGCTCCCAAGTCTTCCACCAACTCCATTGATACCAGCCCAGTGACTTGATGGTTAACCACTAGCCTGGCTAACATCCCTGCAGTGCTTTTTCCCATTACAATTTTATAACATCCCATGTTGGAGCATTCCTTCTTGGATCCTGCTAATGATTTCCATCTCAGCAGCCCTGCCTCAGTATTTACCTTTCTTTCTCTGTACAGACTTGTTCAGTAGCCTGACCCAAGGTCACAAACTGATGCCATATGGGATCTGGGCTGTGAATCCCGCATAAATGGGACTCTACCATCCTGTGGGTGGGGTGGGAGCCTCCAGCTGGGGCCACAGAGGGTGTTACAGCTTGCCCCCTCAATGGCCTGGTATCTTTGGAGCGTAATGTAATTTTGCTCCCTCCTGATGGAGAAGCTGAGCTGCAGACAACTTCTAAGCTGCCAACTCTTCCCTGACTACAGTAAACGCTTTGCTTCTCCCTTTAAGCTGCCTGTTCTACTCTGCTTTGTTCTGGACCCTTGGTGGTTTTTTCCATGTTGGAGAAAGCATGCTGGTTTGAATATTTGGGTTCCTGAGGCTGTCTTGAACAAACCACTTCCTACTTCTCTTCATGGTGTTTATGAAGTCAGTGAATCGTAAAAGATTTGAGAAGTCTTGGTGGTGTTAGCTTCTCTGAAGTAGCCAAGGTAGATCCTTCTGAAAAGCAATTGCTTATCTAAATAGCACAGTCTAGTACTTTGTTACAGAAAGTCCAGTATTCCAAATGCTGAGCAGAAAGTCAGATTAAGGATGGGGTAGGGGTGGAGGGAGAACACAGAGCACCTCAAACAGGAAAACACTGCTGAAATAGGAAAACTGTTCTGTTTACTTACCAGCATCTGGATTTTCTTATTTTGTCTTAATCCTTTGACATGAACTGAGTACTATACTCCTCATATTTTTTAAATATAGAAGAAATATGGGGACATTAAGAAATAGACTGGGGTCACACTCCAAGAAAAGCACTTACCGGGGATAACGAGTTCTGTTGTATGTGTTCTGGTTGCAGGTTTGTGTGATGGGGAATAAGGCAGTGCAGTTTGGAGCTGCAGGGAGATCTATGTGCAAGACAAGGATATTAAGCCTTCCAGCTTGGAAATCAGCTGGAAAACAAACAAATTACCATATATTGTGTCCCCTAGTGTTTGTCCGCTACCAACAGCAGCAGCTGCCCAGGAGCTTGCTAAAAGCATCCTTAACTGTTTGTGAAGATCAAATGCAGGGCTGAGTGTTGTGTACTGATGGCGAGGACTGCTCAGTGGCACAGTGTTTTCCTTGATGCACAGCGTGGAACAGACACTAGACTAGCTGATGCTGATGGCATAGATTATCTCTGTGTTTAAAACCAACGAGCTTCGTTAAGTCTACACAAACTGCAAGTCATCTTGTTGACTGCAACATAGAAAATGCCATAAAACAAATGGAAAGAGGAGCAAGGCTTTCATCTGTGAAGTTAAGATAACCTCAACTGCTCTCTCTGTGTAGTGACAGTAGTTTACCTGCAGCACCTTCATGCAGCAAATATTCACCTGGAGAACCAAGGAGGACTTTTAACAGTGTAAGAGTAAGAGAAGACTCTCACCTGTAGGCAGGCTTGCCACTCAGCTCTGAGTTAGGTTTGTGTACTGGAGGCATGCTGTAGGCTCTGCTGCTACTGTCAAGTCTGCATATGCTGCATCAAGGCTCTATGACTGCTACTGGAGTTTGGCTTCTAAACAAAACAGTGCAGATGTGAGTGCGGATAATGAGGAATTAGTGTAATTTGCATGCTGCTTTTGCTGTGCCTACTACTTATTTGTTGGACTATTGATATGGCTTTTTATAATCAGCTTGACATCTCTTGTCTCTCTCTTGACATATTCTGTTTTGTATTTAATATCAGTGAATTGTCTTCCCCTCCCCCCCCCCGGACCTTTCCATTTGAGAAGCCCTATTTAGTCTTCAACCATTCTGTGATTCTGTGGTTAGTGAGGTTGAAAGACAGCTCTGGAAATCATTGAGTCCAACCCCTTTGCTCAAAGCGGGGTCAGCTACAGCAGGTTGCTCAGGGCTGTGTCCAGTCCCATTTTGAGCATCTCCAAGGGTGCGGCCTCTCTGAACAGCCTGTTTCAATTGTTTGGTGAGCCTTACAATTTAAAAACAGTAACAAAACAAAAATAAAAAACCTCACCCTTATGTTTAAATATAATTCTGGCATTTCTGTCTGTGCCCATTGCTTCTTGTCCTGTCAGTGGACACCACTGAGAAGAGTCTGGCTTAGTCTTCTTTGCTACCCCCATCAGGTATTTCTGCACATAAATAACAATCCCCTGAGCCCCTAGCTCTCAGTTTGTCCTTCCACAACAGATGCTCCAGTCCCTTAATTACCTTCATGGCTCTCTGTTGGACTCTCTCCAGTATATTCATGTCTCACTAGTACTGGGGAGCCCAGCCCTGACCACAGCACTCCAGATGTGTCTCACCAGGGCTGAGTATAGAGTACGATCAGTCTGATCCACATATGAGCTCTAAAGGCCTCACATGAAAGGCAATGGAAAAGGTAGCACTGAACATTGACCGCCCTTCCACAATTGAAGCAGTTGCTTAGTTTTGTACAAGTAACACTTATACATCCCCATATTTAAAGGAAGTAAAAAGGTGTTTGCTTTGTGCCATTGACAACACTGGCTAAACTACGTTTGACATGAACGTAGTGATGAATTTTTTCCTACTGATATTTAGAACAATAGACCAGTATGCAATATCCCTTTAAAAACTTGTGGCATAATGTTTTATTGCTTTTAATATGTGTCAAAAGGTGTGGGGTGGGTGGCTTGGTTTTGGGGGTATTTTTTGTTTGTTTGTGTACGTGGGTTTTCTCTTTAAGACCTAGTCTGAAAGGTAGTCTTTACCTGTTCCAAAATGGCTTGACTCTGAAGTTGCCTGTCTTCACTGACAGTCACCATCTCTAACTGGAAAGTGAAATTGTTGTTGTAAAAGTAACTTAAAAAAATATGTCTTGTACATTTCTAACACAAAGCTCAGCCATTGCATGAGACAATAATTAAAAAGATATGAGAAGATACATGTTGTGGTACCACGTAGTAAGACTGCTTTTAATACACCGAAATCCTACAGCATTTGAACAATTGCAAAACTTCAAAATAAGTCCTAAATTTAATTGGTTGCTTGTGCAGTCTCATTTCTTAGTCTGAATTACTTTCTCTATTCCTGCCTTTCCCAGGCAGTATTGCACATCTGAATAGCGAAGAAAGGGGCTGTGCTTGCACAAATGGTGGCTGCTTTGACATCTAGATCTTTCATAAGAATATCAGTTTTAGACTGGGGGATGCTTAATGTAGCAGAAGTTCATCTCTGGCTTCTCATCTACCTGCTTTCAACAGCTGCTGCTTTCCAGTGGAAGGAGAAGCTTTTTTTAAACAAACAGTCCAGTGCTTGGAATAACCCTAAATCCCTAAATTTAGGGGAATGCTGTTGGCCTACAGGACTCTTACGTTCATATCTCTAATCCAAGGTGATGTCTAAATGAAAATAGATTTTAGGTTGTTCTAGGTTTCTTTTCTTTCTCAGCTTGCTCTCGTATGACTTATTCCTAAAGTCTGAAATATTCCTTATGAAATAGTAGAACTGTCTCTCAGTGAAATATTTGGTCTTTCAGTGCTTTCAGCTGTTGAAAAGGGGTTTTGAGGAGTCTGTCAGTGACAAGTCCACTTTGACTGTAACTTATCTTAAACATCTGAAATAATAACAACTTGGAGAACCAACTGTAGCAGACGCTTAGGTTTTTTCAATAAATCCTAGAAACTTGACACCTCCTCTTGATCTGCTGCAAAACAGTCTGTAAGCCCTAGCAGATTTTAAGCATAAGTTCTGTCTTACTGGAGTCACAT